CCTCATACTTTGGGCTCCTTTTGCGTACACCTGGTATTTGTATCTTGCACTTCGTCTGCACCTCATACCCAGGTGTTACCTTTATTCCCTTCCTATAACAACAGCCTTTCGACACCCATAGCTAATCCGGAGTGTCAGCCGAGCACGGTGACTGCTGTACGACAACACGCACGTGAATATCTAGACAGCAGGCACCGCATCCTCATCTTCATCTTCGTACACATTACATTCACCACCTTTCCATTTATTGTGTTACAACAATATTATGTTACATTTGAAAACTATATATGATTACACGTGCAAAAACGGTAGCACAGTGTGGACGTTGCATAGTTATGACAATTTTTAGAAAAAAATGTCGAAATTTGCAGATTCTAAAAATCGTAATTTTTGGGGGGTTTTTCACTCTTTACGGAGAACGAGGGGAAAATTTTCAATTTTTGAGGATATTTTTATAACTAGATACGCTTTGTGATATTTTGACGTAAATAAATAAAGACATCATAATATAATTAATACCTTCTCAACTTTGCATCGAAGCTAATATTTATTATAGGCGCACTACATTAACCAATAGATCAAATGAGTATCTAAATTTAATGTTTTTATTGAAGCCAAACTATAATTCCAATTATGAACAATTACAATCAGTATTACAAGTAAAATCAAGACGTGGCACTGGTGAAATTACCAAATTATTTTGTACATTTTTTAGTGTACTGTTTATTGGATAAATTTAAAAGACAGTAGCTAGATAGAAAATTAACTTAAAGACAAACAAATTTTTTCTACTATTACAAGTGAAAAGGTTGATTTTGTTTACTAAGAAAACAAACATGCATGAATTTAAAATGATTATCAAACTATTGTATAAAAATTAGTAATACAATTAAAAATTCAATTATATGAAAATAAACTATTACTATGAGTAATGACTTACTATCTTAAAAATGAGTTTAACAATAACATGCATAAAGTTAAATTTATAATGAATTAAATATGCTTAAAATTATAAATGAAATACATAACATACTTAGATTTGTGCAATGTAACAACTAAATTCAAAATGCTCAACTCTATAATACATGACTTCTAGAAATCAAATAATTAATATTTATTTGATTTCTAAAAGTGCAAGATATTTCTTAAACTAATTGGTCTGGTCCAATAGGAACAATTTATCAACAAAGTTTGTGATATAAGGAACAATAAGTGATATTGACAGCTAATATTCAATTTTGCGAGTTTGTTTAGTATGATTTTTAAATTAAGAAACCAGTTTCTGAAAAGACTAGATAAATTTAAGCTCATGTGATTACAAGTGTCAGTGTAGACCAGAAATATGAAAAAATTGAATATTAGCGACTGATCAACAATGAATTTTAATCATTATAGTTAATTTTACATGAAATTTTGTAATTAAGTAAAACAATTATGAAATGTATTCTGAACATAAACGCTCCAACTAGAGCTAACCGGCCACCGTTCCCGGATACTGCTTTTGACCTAACAATATGCTCCCCTAACATTTCCTTGTCCTCTTCTTAGTACATTTTGGGTGATCCTTACGGTAGCGACCACTATCCTGTTGTAACAAGTCTTTCTATACAGCCCACTCAGAGTTCGGGTCGCTTTAACTGTGACTCTTCCTCCAATGTTTCAGATAACTTAAGGTTTAATTTAGACTTAGCAGATTGGACCTCTTTCTCTCTAATTGTGTCTACCTTACTCGAATCTTGGTCTGAATCCACCTCCTCTACAACAAATTATAACAATTTTGTTGATATTCTAATAAGAGCAGCAAAACTTTCAATCCCGCGTAAGCGTTCAAACAATATAGGTTTTAGCCATTCTCCTCCTTGGTAGAACTCTACCTGCACCACTGCAGTTAAAATGCGCTTCTTTAATTTCAAAAAATACAGATCCTCAGGTTCTCTTTATAACTATATAACATATAAAAAATCAAAATCCAACACAACCAAAATTCTAAAAAAGGAAAAATAACTCTTGGTTAAATTTATGCAACAATTTACACCCTTCAACGTCCATCTCTGAATTTTGGACCATAGCTAAAAAATTCAAAAATTGTATAAATCGTCCTTCCACTACCAACAATGACTGGTTTGACTAGCTTCCTTTCCTCTCCTTTCAGTCGTCACGAACTGTCCTTTGCTCTTCAAGGAAATCTGCTGCTGCTGGCTTGGATAATATTTCTCCTTTTTTTTTAAACATCTTCCAATAAAACCTTTGATATTCTTTTAACTATCTTAAACAATTTATGGATTAACAATATCATTCCTGAGTCTTGGAAGCACTTCAAAGTAATTCCTATCCCTAAATGTGGTGCTGTTACTAAAGCATACCGTCCAATTGCCCTTTCATCTGCCTTCTGCAAATTAACAGAATTTATGCTAAAAACCCGTCTGGATTGGTATCTTGAATCCAACTCTCTATTATTATCTAATATGTTTGGTTTTCGACGTGGACTGGGCACAATGGAATGCCTATCCTCTCTTGATGGTCCCGTGTACCATTCGTTTTGTAACCGCCAATTTACTACAGCCGTCTTCGTTAACGTTCGTTGTGCATTTGACTCTGTTAACATCCCTCTTCTTGTTACACGTCTACTCACCATCAACATTCCTATATCGGTGTGCAAATTTATCTTTTCTTTATTTAAATGCCGCCTCCTCCACCTTATATCGCCGTTTGGTCCCTCTTACCAACGTATTACTTATAGAGGTCTTTCTCAAGGTAGCTGCCTCAGTCATATTTTACTTAACATATGTACTGCTGATATAAGCAAATCAATCACATCTAATAATTTCTCTAGTTTACTTTACGCCGATGATATAGTTATCTTCTCTTCCCATAGTTCACTTCAGGTTACTGTAGTGAATATAAATAATGCACTCCAGATCCTCTCCTCTGTACTCCAGATTTCCTATTTTGAATCTGCCCCAGAAAAAAGCAAAGCTATAATATTTACTAGAAAACACATCCTACAACACCCTTCAATTTTGCTTGATGGAGTTAGCTTATCCTTCTCTGATTGTGTTACTTACCTCGGACTCAAACTAGATCAGAAACTCCGCTGGATGCCTCACTTTAAGTACCTCATCTCTTCCATTTCACGCTGGTCTAATCTTCTACGTTCCATTGCAGGTACCTGGGGGTCTATTTTTGAATCGTCCGTTCACGAACGTAACGTTTAGATTTTATTTTATATAGGTTACGTAATCGTTTAAATTAAAAATAAACTGCATTACAGAACTCCCAGTAAAATTTCAATACAAATTGATGGATCACACTAAAGTGAAATTTTTTTCCAACTTTGAACCCAAAGTTCAGGGAAGGGCACGAAAGTTACAAAAAATCGAATGACCACTCAATTTGTATGAGAATTTCGTAGGAAATACCGTTGTGATTTATTTTTTATTAAAAGAAAATTTAAAGTGGGGGAACCGGAAAACCCCCAATTTTGGAGATAGGAAATTTTAGTTTTCGATTTCGCTATTTTTAGGTACTACTGAATATCATCCTACTACTCGTGACATAGCATTTACTAACACCCTGTATAATCATAACAAAATTATTTAAACTTTACTTATCAGTAAATATGTCATTCGGCAACAAGCTGTGGCAAAAATAAAAGTTTTTTTTTTTTTTAAATAGCCTTTATTAAAATAATATTTAGCTCAACAATTATACACAAAGAAAAAAAAAATTGAATTAGAAGTATAGCAGTAACAGTGCTATGTTATAATGGTATAACAAATATGACAATAATTTTTAGTATACTCAAAAATAAAGAAAAAATTAAATATTATTGTTAATAGAGATTTAAAAGTACAACTACTAAAAGAATTACTAAATTAAAATTTTTATTTGAAATAATGGAGGATGAGAGAAAGTAAATAAATAAGTAAATAGAAGAATATAAAATAAAATAATGAGAGATTAAATAACAAAGTCGGAACTCCTCAAGAAAGATATGATTGAAATAATAATATAGGAAGAACGGGAATTAAGAGTATTAGCTACGGAAGGGGGATTAATATTGTGGGAGGCTAAGAGGCTGAATAGTTTATTTCTGCTGTTAATTAGGGCAGGACAATCAAAGAGAAGATGAGGAAAATCGCAAAGAGCTTCACTATAATGTAGGTGACAGAAGGGAACGGAATTTAAGGAAAGATGAAATGCATGGTAAGGCAGTAGATTATGATTTAACCTCAATCTTGAGTACTGAGACATGATATTTCTGGATAAGTCAAGATTATGAAACCATGGAGAATGTATAATGGATGGAGAAATCTCACGGTACCAACATACCGTTTTCAATTTTATTGTAGCCCAACTGTCCTGCCAGGCTTGAAGAATTATATGTCGAAAGAGGCGGAGGCATATTCATTAATTGAAGTAGAAGATATAAAAATGAGAGCATTAACGACGGCAAGGCATTCAGTGGTAAAAGAAGAAGAAGAAGGGTGGAGTGCAGCTGAGTAAGAAATATTAAGTTCAGGAATAAAGAAAGAACAACCAGCCGAGTTAGTTGATACAGAACCATCTGTGAATGTCAAGCATTTAGTCTGAAAATTAGCTGATATATAATCTTTGAAGAGATTATTAACAGAAGTTGCAGGAAAAGAACGGAGCTATTGTAAAAGCCACTAGAGGACAGTCAAATAAAGGTAATCTGGAGTGTGATTTGTAAATGTGACAGACAATGGGTGACAGAGAAGAGCATACTGAGGCTAAAATTGGTAGTGATTTAGGCACGTAGCAACAACAATTACTTAATTCGGAGTATAAGGAGAAGATACCCCCAGGGGGGCACCTAGTGTTACGGGTATGGCGAGCTCCTGTCTTCCCAAGGTATGGGTAGTTCATCGTAGGGCTAACAACCTTACATCGTAAAAAGAAAACTTGTTAAGAAACCACAAAATAAGCCTCGGAATTGGATCAATGGACAACGAATGGAATTGGAAAATGGAATAAAAATGGGTACATGGAATGTTAGGACCTTAAACAAACCGGGAGCGTTATAGTACTTACTTGACGCTATTAAAAAATATAATACAAACGTACTAGCTCTACAAGAAATTAGATGGCCAAACGACGGAAGTATGAAAAAAGAAGATAAAACAATATTCTACAGCAGAAGAAAGGATGGAAGACATGAAAATGGTGTGGGATTTATAGTGAGTGACGATACATTACCTCAAGTAAAAGAATTCACCGCAGTAAATGACAGGATATGCTACATTCGAGTCACGGGTCGCATTTTCGATATCATTATTATAAACGCATATGCGCCAACCGAAGAGAAAGAAGAAAATCTTAAGAATGAATTCTACGATGAGCTCGAGAACATACTTGAGACCACAACGAATAACTGTATCAAAATATTAATAGGTGACTTTAATGCAAAAATAGGAAAGGAGGATATGTACAGACCCACAATTAGACCCAATAGCTTACATGACGTAAGTAACGATAACGGAACCAGGTTGATCAACATGTGTTTAGCAAAAGGATTTACAATTAGTAGTACATACTTCCCAAGGAAGGACATACACAAACAAACTTGGATAGCACCTAATGGAATAACTAAAAACCAGATCGACCACGTGATGATACAGAATAAACATAAAGGATGTATAAAAAGTGTCAGGAGTTATAGAGGGGCAGACGCCGACTCAGACCACTACCTTGTAATTACAAAACTTAAGATTAGATTATCCGAAAGATGGAAAAAAGTGAAAAATAAAGGATCTGTAAAATACTGTATAGAAAAACTATCAGATAGGGAGATATTAGAGGAATACATTTGTAAAACACAGCAAGAACTACAAAAGGCCAACAAAAAAGCAGATGAAGGTGATAATGTTGAACGAATATGGGACAGAATTAGAACAGCATTCAGTAGTCAACAGTGCTAATAATTGTTTAGAAATAAAAGAAAAAAAAAAAGAAAGGAATGGTTTAATGATAGATGCAAGGAAGCAATAGAGAGGAGAAATTGCGCACGAGAAAAAGCTATCAAGGACCCGAGTGATATAAATATAGAAAGATATAAAAACATCAAAAAAGAAACTAGTAGAGTACTAAGATGTGAAAAAAGACTGTCAGAAAAGAGAAAGATTGAGGAAATTGAAGAAAATAAAAATAACTCCAGAAGATTCTTCAACAATATTGCCAGCATTAAACGGGGATACAAACCGCAGACTAGAATTTTAAGAAATGAATTAGGCGAGTTAGTGACAAAAGAGGAATTAGTAGTAGAAGAATTTAAAAAACATTTTGAATGTCTTCTAAACAAAACAGCAATAACATCAACACATGAAGAAATAGATTTGCAATATAGTTCAGCGGAACCATATATTGAAGCCCCAACGAAACGGGAAATCTATAACATCATAGAAAAACTAAAAAACAATAAATCACCTGGAGAAAATAACATAGTTGCGGAATTACTAAAAAATGGAGGAGAAAGGATCAAATGTGAAATTTGGAAAATGATTAAGGTAATTTGGGAAACCGAAGAAATGCCAGGAGAGTGGAACACGGCAATACTATGTCCAATATTTAAAAAGGGACCCTAGACCCAAAAAATTACAGAGGAATTTCCTTATTAGATACTTCTTACAAAATATTGTCGACGCTTCTTTTGGAAAGAATAACGCCTTATGCAGAAGGCATCATGGGGAGGTATCAATGTGGCTTTATAAAGGGGAAATCCACCGTCGACCACATATTCACCTTAAGGCAAACAATGGAGAAATACCATGAATTCGATGAGGACCTATATATGATATTTGTTGATTATAAACAAGCTTATGACAGTATAAATAGAAAAGAACTATGGAAAACAATGATACAATTTGGAATCCCACAAAAATATGTCAATTTAGTAAAAATGTGTAATGATAAGACGTTACTTAAAGTACGTTTCTTACAGAAATTATCGCCGGCCTTTGAGGTTAACTCAGGATTGAGACAGGGAGATGCCCTGTCCCCAACTTTATTTAACCTGGGTCTGGAAAAAGTTATCAGAAATTCCTATGAAGGACAAACAATGGAAGTTCTTGGCAAGGAAACTGTTTTAGCATATGCTGACGACATAGTTCTTTTAGGGAATACGCGAGAAGAAATTACCCGCTCGGTTTCTAAACTAATGGAAGCTAGTAAAAATAAAGTTTGTGTATCAATAAAGAAAAAACTAAACTTATCATATTATCTAGAAGAAACCTAGACCATTCAAACCTGAAAGTAGGAAGTATGACTTTCGAAAAGGTGGATAATTTCAAATACTTAGGTGTTAATATAAACAGCAGTAACAACATGCATACGGAAATAAAAGAAAGAATATCGAATGGAAATAAATGTTATTTTAGCATAAACAAGCTATTAAGATCAAAACTGCTATCAAGAAAGTCAAAAACCACACTGTACACAAGCTATCTTAGGCCAATAGTAACCTATGGATGTGAAACTTGGTCCACGACAAAAGATGACAATAGAAAACTTACTTTATGGGAAAGGAAAATATTAAGAAATATATATGGACCGGTGTACAATGACAACCTGGGAATTTATGAAAAGAGACACAATGAGGAGCTGTATGACCTGTATGGAAAACCAAATATACTCACATTTATATATGTGATAATGTAATATAGGTCATTATTTTATAAAACTGAAAACAAAGAATTTTTGTAATGTTTGGTTTAACTATGAATTTCTTAATCTATTATTACAAAAATATAATATAGTCTATTATTTGTAAACCTAGAAGTAGAACACTACTTATTTTTTTAAGTGTATTAATTTTTTATATGNACTTATTTTTTTAAGTGTATTAATTTTTTATATGTTAGTAGGGTAATTTAGGGGATTCTGGTTCCCCCCCGCCTCACCCCTTCACCCACCCACCTGTCGCGGGGGAGGGGAGT